AAAAAAAAAAAACAGGATTCAAGCTGGGTACATTGGCTTATACCTGTAATCCCAGCACTTTCAGAGGCTGATGTGGGAGGATCGCTTGCAGTCAGTAGTTTGAGACCAGCCTGGGCAACATAGTGAGACTCCATCTGTATAAAAAAAAATAAAAAATCTGCTAGGCATGGTGATGCATGCCTGTAGTCCCAGCTATAAAAAAATTCTTTTTAGCTCAGTAAGATTAAAATAAAATTGAAATTCCTATTCCTTAGCAGCACTAGCCACATTTCAAATGCCCATAGCCACATAGGAGCTATTGTATTGAACAACACAGATATAGAACATTTCCTTCATTGAAGAAAATCCTACTGGACAGCACTAATATAAAGTATGTTCTCTGATCACAATGTAATTACCGTAGAAATCAACAATAATATATAACCAAAAAAAGTTCATCATATTTTGGGGAACAGGATTTATACTTCTAAATATCCATGAGTAATAATACAAAAAAAGTAGCCAGGCATGGTGGCACACACCTGTGGTCACAGCTATTTGGGTTACTGCAGCAGGAGGATCTCTTGAACCCAGGAGGTGGAGGTTGCAGTGAGCCGAGATTGCACCACTGCACTCCAGCCTGGGTGACACAGCAAGACTCCAGCTTAAATAAATAAATAAATAAATAAATAAATAAATAAATAAATGGTGAATTTCATGGTTTGTGAATTACAACTCAATAAAGCTGTAAAAAATAACAGGGCCCTGGTGCGGTTGCTCATGTAATCTTAGTGCTTTGGGAAGCCAAGGTGGGAGGATCGCTTGAGCCCAGGAGTTTGAGACCAGTCTGAACAACATAGAGAAACCCTATCTCTACAAAGATAAAAATATTCACCAGGCATGATGGTGGATAGCTTAGTCCCAGCTACTTGGGAGTCTGAGGTGGGAGGATCGCTTGGGCCCAGGAGGTCGAAGCTGCAGTGAGCTGTGATCGCGCCACTGCACTCCAGCCTAGGTGACACAGCAAGACTGCCTCAAAAAAAAAAATTTAGAATTACACATCCAAACATACCATACCATGAAAACACTTGCCAGAGAATGGGACAAAATATTTGTAACACATATAACTAGCAAAGGACTCACATCCAGAATATATTTAGCGTTTCTACAAATCAATGAGAAAAAAAAAAAATTCAATAGAAAAAAGGCCAAAGACTTGATTTGGCACTTCTCAAAAATATATTTCAAATGGTCAATAAATAGGGAGATGGATTTTAAAACCATGATGTAATGATAAAGTATTATGTACAAATCAGATTGAGAAAATTTTAAAAGTCTGACCACACCAAGGGTATAGAACAATGAAAACTTTCACACTCTTCTAGCTGTAGTATAAATTCATAGAACCACTTTTGAAAACATTAGTATTATCCAGTGAAGCTAAATATAGACATTAGACATGTCCTATGACCTAGCAATCCTACCCCAAAGTATACACTCAAAGACTAATGAACATGTATACTGAGACTCAAGCATGTTCACGGCACCACTGTTCTTAGTAGCCCCAAATAAGAAACAACCCAAGTATCTTTTAAGAGTAGAATAATGTGTGGTATATTAGTGAATACAATATTTTAGTTATAAAAGTTAGCCAACTCTAGCACATGCAATGACACGAAGAATCTTATAAAAGTAGTATTGAGAAAAGAAAGGGAAGACAAGTGAATATATACGGTAGAGAGGCAGAGCAGGAGCAGGGAGACCAGTTATAAGGCCACTGCAATCATCCAGATCATAGGCTCTCCTTTGAAGAAAGAATGGATAGAATTTGATTGGATTTGTGATGTGAGAGAAAGAACAAAGTGAAGCCTGATGACTCCTAACTTTTTGTCCAGATTAACTAGGTGAATGGTGGATACCACTTTAATGAGATGAAGAAGACTGGGGGAAAAACAGGTTTAAAGGGAAAAAAATCAACTCTGTTTTTACGCTACACCTTACATTGTGTTTACACAAAGTAAGTAAACACCGAGAAACACATACTGCCTATCTTAGGCCTTGGTAGAAATGCCCTTCAGTTACTTGCCTTTTTTTTTTTTCTGAGATGGATTTCACTCTGTTGCCCAGGCTGGAGTGCACTGGCACGATCTAGGCCCACTGCAACCTCCACCTCTAGGGTTCAAGCGATTCTCTTGCCTCAGCCTCCTGAGTAGCTGAGATTACAGGCACATGTCACCATGCCCAGATAGTTTTCCCATTTTTATTAGAGACTGGGTTTCACCATGTTGGCCAGGCTAGTCTCAAACTCCTGACCTCAAGTGATCCACCCACCTCGGCCTCCCAAAGTGCTGGGATTACAGGTGTGAGCCACTGTGCCCAGCCAGTTCCTTGCCTTTGACCAGTACTTAATGCTGGATGAAAAAGCTGGTTATATCTAGATACATACCCTAGAGAAACACTTGTCTGTGTACACAGGGAGATATATACTACAGCAGCGGTTCCCAACCTTTTTGGCATCAGGGACTGATTTCATGGAAGACCATTTTTCCATGGACAGGAGACTAGGGGAGGGATGGTTTTGGGATAAAACTGTTCCACCTCAGATCATCAGGCATTAGATTCTCACTTAGATCCCTCGCATGCGCAGTTCACAGTAGGGTTTGCGCTCCTACGAGAATCGAATGCTACTGCTGATCTGAGAGGAGGCAGAGCTCAGGCGGTAATGCTTGCTTTCCCTCTGCTCACCTCCTGCTGTGTAGCCCAGTTCCTGGGGTCTGGGGACCCCTCTACTAGAGGGTTCATTGAAGCATCATTTATGTAGCAAAAAAATGGAAGCAACCTAAAATTCCATTAACAAGAAAATGGACCAAAAAATTATAGTAATAGTACATGCAAATAAGTTATGGTATATTCATACTGTGGAATACTATTTAGCAGTTAAAACTAATAAACTGAACTAAAACTACAAATATTCATATGACTCAATCTGCAAAACATGTTGAATAGAAAAGGCAGGTTGCAGAATAATAATACACAGTGTGATACCATTGATATAAAGTTTCAAAAACACAAACCCTACTATAAATAATTTATAAATCATACATATGTAATGTGCAAATTTAATGGGAAGAAGAGAGGTAGACTCATGTAAAGTTTAGAGGAGGCTTCAAATGTAGCAATTTTGAGGAAAGTAAAAATATTATTATTTAAAAAGCAATAGAAGCAAATATGGCAAAATTTTAAGATTTGATAAAGCTAAATTGTACCTCCATACTTTTTTGATAATATGAAATTTGACAGTTTAAATATCAAGAAAAATACTTAATTGGGAAAATACTCACATTCTCGAAAATGACTTAACTTGGGCATTACTTCCTCCTTGAATAGATGAATGACATGCTCGACAATCTCTCGGTTTCGATTCTGGCCCAGGACATACAGGTATTTCTCCAGAAGAGGAACATTTTTCAGATTCCAGATGAAGTTCTTCCGATGAAGACTACTTAACTTTGGGTGATGGAATTTCTAAATCAATCAAAAGCGAGATATTCTTAGTCTCTTGAGAGAGCAACCACTGGTGAGAGATGGGAGGTGCTGCACATTTTTTTTTTTTTTTTTTTTTGAGACGGAGGAGTCTTATACTCTGCCAACCAGGCTGGAGTGCAGTGGCATGATCTCGACTCACTGCAACCTCCACCTCCTGGGTTCAAGTGATTCTTCTGCCTCAGCCTCCCGAGTACCTGGGATCATAGGCATGTACCACCACGCCTGGTTAATTTTTTTTTTTTTTTGTATTTTTAGTAGAGATGGGGTTTCACCATGTTGGCCAGGCTGGTCTCAAACTCCTGACTTCAGGTGATCCACCCGCCTGGGCCTCCCAAAGTGCTGAAATTACAGGTAGGAGCCACCTCGCCTGGCCGGTGCTACATATTTTTAATCAACCAGACCTTGTGAGAACTCACTCACTATCACAAGAGATCTGCTGCTTCAGAAGACTACCTGCTCTAGACTGGCCAGGGAGTCTCTGAGGGAGACAGGTGGCATTCTCTCATGGTCATTGACTTGCCCCATTTACTTTAACTCACAAAATAGTAAGCCCTTCATATCTGTGCAGGATCTCTCAGTTTGGGGAGCACATTCCCAGCTCACTTGATCCTCATAATTATGTAAAGATAGGCATTATTGCCCACAGCTTACAAAAGAAATTGGAGGCAGCTCTAAAGAACTCTGTTCTCACCCATGCCCCTTGTAACCTCTTTGACTTCATCTTCTACTGGCTTTGCTCACCTACTCCAACCACCCTGGCCTCCCTGCTGTTCAAGGAACATGCTAGGCATGTTCCCACCTCACAGCCTTTTGCTTTTGCTGTTTCCCTTTTTGGGGATGCCCTTCACCAGATGGTTAGTGCCGTCATTTCTACCAGGTCTTTACTCAAAAAACACCTTCTCTGTGAGAATGTCCTGACCACTCCATCTAGAATTTCAACCCTCTCCCTGATATTTTGTACCCGTCATCTCTGCTTATTTTTACTCCTTACCACTTATTGCTAACATTTGTCATAGTTCACTTACTTATTTTACTGTCTACTCTCACTAGAATATAAGCTCCATGAGGGGTAGGGCTGTTTTTTGTCTGTTTCGTTCACTCCTGTATCCCCACACCTAGAACAGTGCCTGGCACATTGAAGGCACTGCTTGAGCAATACTTGCTGAATTAAAGGATGTTCTTAGAATAAAAAAATTCTGGAATTGGAAGGGGCTTTAGACTTTGACCACTCTATCTAAAGATGTAAATAATTTTCACTATCGTTGCACGAATGGGAAAACTGGGGTTCATAGAGGGATAACAACTTGTAATTATAAGGCTGAGGGAGGACCTGGATCTTGTGACCCACAGTTCAGACCTCTTTCACAGAGTGAGTGCTGGAAGATGCCTTGATGGTCATCCAGTGAAGTTTATTTCAAACCTTTTTGCACAACTTGCAGTAAGAAATATATTTTACATCATAACCCCAGTATACAGGCACACACATATAAAGAAAAAAGTCTCAGTAAACAATACTCAGACCATTATATGTGACATATTCTGGTGTTTTTAAAAATTATATTCTGGCCGGGCATGGTGGCTCATGTCTGTAATCCCAGCACTTTGGGAGGCCGAGGTGGGTGGATCATTTGAGGTCAGGAGTTCGAGATCAGCCTGGCCAACATGGTGAAACCCCATCTCTACTAAAAATACACAAAATTAGCCAGGCATGGTGGCAGGTGCCTGTAGTCCCAACTACTTGGGAGGCTGAGGCAGGAGAATAGCTTGAACCCTGTCTCTTATACACATCTAGATGTGTATAAGAGACAGCTTGAGCCACCGCGCCCGGCCTGAATACTTCTTGATATGGTTTGGATCTGTGTCTCCACCAAATCTCATGTCGAACTGTAATCCCCAATATCGGAGGTGGGACCTGGTGGGAGGTGATTGGATCATAGAGGTGGTTTCTTATGAATGGTTTAGTACTATCCTTTGGTGCTGTTCTTGTGATAGTGAGAGTTCTCATGAGATCTGTTTTATTGTTGCTGTTGTTGTTTGTTTGTTTTTGAGACAGTCTCTCTCTGTTGCCCAGGCTGGAGTGCAGTGGCGCAATCTTGGCTCACTGCAATCTCTGCCTCCCAGGTTCAAGCAATACTCCTGCCTCAGCCTCCTCAGTAGCTGGGATTACAGGCACCCACCAGCATGCACAGCTAATTTTTGTGTTTTTAATAGAGACAGGGTTTTACCATGTTGGCCAGGCTGATCTCGAACTCCTGACCTCAAGAAGGCTGCAGAAATTTGCATACGTAAAAAGGAGCCAAGCAATAATAGCCAAGACAATGGGGAAAAGTTCTTGAAGTCATTTCAGAGACTTGTGGCAGTCCTTACCATCACAGGCCTGGAGGGCTAGGAGGACAGGATAGTTCTATGGGTCAGGCCCAGGGTCCTGCTGCCCTACACAGCCTTAGGATATTGCTCCCCACATCCCAGTTGTGCCAGCTCAAGCCATGGATCAAAGGGGTATGGTACAGGTACAGCTTAGACCACTGCTTCAGAAAGTGCAAGCTAGAAGCCTTGGTGGCTTCCAAGTGGTATTAAGCATGTGGGTGCACAGAGTGTAAAAGTTGAGGCTTGGGAACCTCTGCCTGGATTTCAGAGATGTATGGAAAAGCCTGGATGTTCAGGCAGAAACCTGCTGCAGGGGTGGAGCCCTCACGGAGAACCTCTACTAGGGCAGTGTGGAGGAGAAATGTGGGCTTGGAGCCCCCACACAGAGTCCCCACTGGGGCACTGCCCAGTGAAGCTGTGAGAAGAGGGCCACCATCCTCTAGACCCCAGAATGGTAGATCCACTAGTAGTTTGCACCCTGCCCCTGGAAAAGCCACAGGCACTCAACACCAGCCCTTGAGAGCAGCCACAGGGGTGGGGCTGCCCCAGGCCTTGGGAGCCCACCCCTTGCATCAGTGTGCCTTGGTTGTGGGACATGGAGTCAAAGGAGATTATTTTGGAGCTTTAAGATTTAATGACTGCCCTGCTGGGTTTTGGACTTGCATGAGGCCTGTAGTCCCTTCCTTTTGGCTGATTTCTCCCTTTTGGAATAGGAGTGTTTACCCAATGCCTATACTCCCATTGTATCTTAGAAGTAAACACCTTGTTTTTAATGTTATAGGCTCATAGGCAGAAGGGTACTTGCCTTGTCTTAGGTGAGACTTTGGACTGTGGACTTTTGAGTTAATGCTGGAATGAGTTAAAATTTGGGGGAACTGTTGAGAAAGGATGATTGAATTTTCCATTGTGAGAAGGATATGACATTTGGGAGGCCAGGGCAGAATGATATGGATTGGCTCTGTGTCCTCACCAAATCTCATGCCAAACTGTAATCCCCAATATTGGAGGTGGGGCCTGGTAGGAGGTGATTGGATCATGGCGGTGGTTTCTCATGAATGGTTTAGCACCATCCTCTTAAGGCTGCTCTCATGACAGTGAGTGCATTCTCATGAAATCTGTTGTTTAAAGGTATGCAGCACCCCCGCCTTGCTCTCTCTTGCTCCTGCCCCTGCCATTTAAGACACCTGATCCCACTTTGCCTTCTGCCATGATTAGAAGCTTCCTGAGGCCTCCTCAGAAGCAGAAGCCACTATGCTTCCTGTATAGCCTGAAGAAGCATGAGCCAATTAAACCTATTTTCTTTATAGATTACCCAGTCTCATGTATTTCTTTATTACAATTCACGAATGGACTAACACACTTCCCATGGTATGTACTTTTTACCCTTATTGAGATGGCTTTGTGTTCTTCCCTTTGTGAAGTTAAAATCTGCCTCTGCCTCTCTAATAGTATCCATGCCACTGGTTCCAACTATGACCTCTGAGACCATCTGGAACAGGATTAGTCCTCCAGGTTTTTGAGGATAGCACTCCTGCTCTCTCTCTTCTTTCTTTTTTTTTTAAATCTGAGACAGAGTCTCACTCTGTTGCCCAGGCTGGAGTCCAGTTGTACAATCTCAGCTCACTGCAACTTTTGCCACCAAGGTTCAACTGATTCTCATGCCTCAGCCTCCCAAGTAGCTGAAATTACAAGCATGTGTCACCATGCCCAGTTAATTTTTTAGTATTTTTAGTAGAGACAGGGTTTTATCATGTTGGCCAGGCTGGTCTCGAACTCCTGGGCTCAAGTGATTCACCCACCTTGGCCTCCCAAAGTGCTGAGATTACAGGTGTGAGCCACCCCACCTGGCTTTGGAGCTTCTCTTCTTTTTTTTTTTTTTTTTTTTGAGACGGAGTCTCACTCTATCACCCAGGCTGTAGAGCAATGGCACGATCTCAGTTCACTGCAACCTCCATCTCCCAGGCTCAAACAATTCTCCTGCCTCAGCCTCCACAATAGCTGGGATTACAGGCAACTAACTTAAAAAAATTTTTTTCAGTAGAGATGGGGTTTCACCATGTTGGCCAGGCTGGTCTCGAACCAGAGTCTTCTCTTTTGTACATTTAACATCCTGTGTGTTAAATGCCAATTGTGATCACAAAGACATTGCATAGTAAGCACTGAAAAAACACTGTTAGGAGCTGTTACTTTTGGAGACTGGGATTATAAAGGAATGGAGATGATGGTGGAGAGAAAAAAAATTTCATTTTATACCTTTCAGTACTGTTTGAAATTTTATACTGTGCATATTTATTATTTTTAAAGAAAGTAAAATAGCTGGGCATCATGGCTCATGTCTATAATCCCAACTAGTTGGGAGGCTGCAGTGAGACGATCACTTGAGCTCAGGAGTTCAAGACTACCCTGGGCAACACAGTGAGATCTCATCTGAAGAAGAAGAAGAAGAAAGAAGAAAGAAGAGGAAGAGGAGGAGGAGGAGGAGGAGAAGAAGAAGGAGGAGAAGGAGAGGAGGCAGAGGAGGAAGAGTAAAAAGAGAAAGAGGAAGAAGAAGAAGAGGAGGAAGAGGAAGAGGAGGAGGAAGAGGAAGAGGAGGAGGAGGAGGAAGGAAGAGG